GTATTTAAAGTTTAGATCACATGAAGAAAATTTTACGATTGAATAATCAAGCTACGCAAATCATCTTTATAAGGAGTTAATTTTCAAAATTTGGTAATCATTCTGATGTAGACTACTAGTTAGGATATTTACTCTGGCAGCAGAGTAACCCGGGTTCGATACCAGTGAGCGGAGCTATCTTTCCTAGAGTACTGATCTCATATAGGATACGTGATGGCCACTCAAGAGATGAAATATCAGAATGAGGATATTTATTTTTTTACTTTATTTTGTTTATTTATATTATTATTATAATTACTTATACAGTATATTTTAGTTAGATATTTATGTATAGTATGCATAATATAGGTCTGAGCGAATGTCATGGGCTAAAAGGTAGATCGACAAATCGGTGCAGCAAACTCATGACTCTATGCAGATCGATCATCGGAATTCCAGATCGACTAGTGCATGAGGCTTACCGGCTAAATAATGGAAAGATAACCTATGTGAAATCCAAAGAAGAATTCCAAAAAGAACAAATGAAGATCTAAAGAGAAGAAAACAAGAATTAAGAATAATTAGAAATAGTTAAATTAGAAAATGTTGTAAAGGCAAAGCCTTCATTAATATAATCATGTTGTACTTATTGTTGTAAGCCCCTTTAGTTATAGTGATTCTTCCTTGATCTTTCATGATGAAAGATCTGATTTATCTGATTTACCCTAAGCCTTTAGAACCTATTAGTATAGCAAAAGTTATATAAACCCTGTAATTTCTTTCTTGTAAAGAATAATCTTATCCTACGGGATTATGGTATTCCTAACATATAACATTGAATAAATCATCTTGATAATATCATTTTAAAACTAAACTGTTGCTAAATCACCATCGTCACGCCTCTGGCGAGTTGCCTTATCACCTAAAAACTTATATTTTCGTATTTTTCATATTAAAGGATACGATTCACCCCGTAACAGTGTGTATAGTACTGATTTGACGAAACCATGTGATGATAATCATCACCTGTCATAAACTACCAAGACCTAAAATTTAATCTAGTTTTTATTAAATATTGATATGTGACATTTAGCATCACATGGTTTCGTCTAACAACTATAAATCATAGTTAATCATTCAAGCTAACCTTATCTGGGTTTCTTGAAACTTATTACGTATTAAGTGTTCATTACCATTTTAGTATATAACCTTAAAGAATATTCTTCATTGTCACTTTAGTGGTTTATTACGTGTTTTTAGAATAAGCACATACTCCAGATATGAGTTTATCTCGAACCATTTATATTTGTGATACTGATAATGCGATATTACAATATTTTAATCCCTACTAAAGGTTACAAAGCTTTTGCAAACAGGTATGTACGAGAATTTTGTCATTATTCTTTTTTAGCTTCTTTAAAAGAAAAGTTTATTCATTGACAGTGTTTAAAATTTATCGAATATTCTTAGAACTTGCGAATTTTCGAATGTTCGTATTTCTAAACTAACCAGATATTTACCTGTAGCAGTTCATGTCCGCAAAACCGAACAGATGAATAAAACTATAAATAGAATTTCCTTATAAGAACTTATAATGAGATGAAAATAGTAAAGATTATGGGTACGTAAAAAGTGGTTTCAACTTTGACTAACTTTAAACAAGTTTATTGTTAAAGAAAATTATCTTAAAAGTAGTCTTAAACGAATCTACTAAGACGACCCGGTTCATGATCACGTGAAAATATTGATAAAACCAAAGATGTATCAGAATTGTCGTAGCTTGAATTGCCTGGGTCTTTTAAAGTTTGGTACTAGAGCTGTTACCCGGGTCAAATCCAACCCGAACATTTTCGATCCAGGTTGTGATCCGTGTCAATAATTATGTAAGTTCAAGCCCGTGTTGAGTAATTAAACCGGGGCTTTTCGAATTTTGTTTCAAAAAAATCTCAACCTTACTCGCAAATCATAATTTGAGTTTGAGTTCTTTCATTTTTTACAATGGATCACTGGAGTTTATTTATGACCCGTCAAGAGACTGACGTAAAGGTCAACTTAATCCGGGTAAGAGTATCAAAATCCATGGCTGTAATAAATAGAGCTTTCAAAGACCAAGATTACTCTTGAGGCTGGTTCCAATATGCAGTATCTATCACCACTTAAGTGAGAAAAATTTTTACGTATGTTTTTTTTTTGTCTTTTTAGTATTTATATATTTTTAAGTTCTTGTCAAGAAAACGCGTTTGCTTGTATTTTACAGATCATCAAATACTCCCGCTTGCTTGTGAATCAAAAAAATACAGCATCAGTAAATAGTAAACCATCAAAGGAAGTTCTTTTATGGGAAAACTTTTTAGAAAAAGGCTAACGAGAATCTCTGATCAACAAAAAACGATATTCGAATACTTGTGTCTCTAAAAAAAAAAAAAAATTATACGTACAATATAATATTTATAATACTATAACTAAGAAAAGCCACAATTTCATTTAGTGAAAAAATCATTCAATATATTAAATTGAAATGAAATGATCGAAACACTTGCAAGCTCCAACTATTTTTTGCAAAGGCTTTAGAAATGCTTGCGAAGCCCTTCGTCAACGCATCCTTCCTTGTTAACACATCCTTCCTCGTCAATACATCATATCTCATCAACACATTCTCCCTCGTCAATGCATCATATCTCATCAGCACATTCTCCCTCTCTAGTGTATTCTCCTTCGCCATTACATTCTCGTGAACGCCAATATTAATTCGGTCTTAAATCCGTTAACCCTAATCCTACCTCAAAATTCGAATTTCCCATATTCAGAACTAAATAGACTAAATGGTTGGATATATACATAGAAGATGACCTCCCACCACACTGCATTTACATAGACTAGAGGTCTTTCGACCTATCTAGCAAGATTAGATCGAGAATAATTTGTATAATATGTACTGTACATGTTTTGTATTTTTGTGGACAAAGTCATCGAGAAACATTTAACTCTTTAGTTAAAGAATATACCACGTATTAATTGAAAAAGAATACGAGGAAAGACCTCTCTTTAAAAAAATAGATATATATTCGATCTTAAATGAACTAATGGGAACGGATTACGAATTTCGAGCTGAAAACTTCATGTCGGTGAGCCCAATTTTACACGCTATCATAACGATGATTTGATTATGCTAGTAGAAGTTATAGAAAAGCATGTTTTTGGAGGAATTGGGTGAACAAACATTATCAAATGGTATTTGCTTTTTATACATTCATATAAATTTATTCGAACTTGGTCTATTATATGTGTTTATTGTTACAAGCTAACCCTCCGGATAAAAACTTTTGGTTGTTTTTATTCTTTAATTATACTAGGTTAATGCGTAGCATTTTTCAAGGACACGGAAAAATATAGATTTATTTAGAACAATACAAATCGATATTTTCATTTATCGCCACCAAGGGCTTGAAAAATTTCCTAAAAGATTAGATCACAATTAATCACAATTTTTATCCTTTCAATAATGTACGTGATAATTAACCAATTAAATTGTAGTATAAATATATGAATTCATCGTTTTACAATCGACAAGAGATAGTAAATTTCAAAATACTAAAAATATTTCAAGCAAATTTGGTTGTCTTGAGATATATGTCTTTATATTTTTGTAACGGATTAGCAAGCACTAGCAAGTAAATATTAAAGATTTAATTGGCTTTTGTAATTGCTAATATTCTATCAGAAATGTTGACAAGCTATGTTCTTGGCTTAAAAGACGTTGGAAAAAAAAAATTACAGATCATGTGATATGGCAATCTATCGATTTAAAGCGAAAGTATTATATGCCCCTGCAATAGTTCTTTCACTCTCAAGCAACATTATAGACATTAATATTAAATTTCAAGATGAAATTTTTGTAAAGAACTCTAGCCAAAATTTTTTTTTTCTTGAAAACAAAAAAAACATGAAATTAAAATTTCAAATTGTTTGAACTAGTAAGCTAAATATCGGTATATTTAAATAAAATACGTAGACAAATACTATCCTATTAATGTTTTACAGCCAGAACGTATTATGATTTCGTTATTTCCAAGTCTTGTAATTAGTGTTTTCGCACGTTTAAAGTCTTATTTAGTTTGTAAATATTTAACGACTACACTTCATAATTCGATAACATTCACATAACGATGAATATTTTTTATAAAATCATCGATATTAATTCATTAATCGTTATAATCACATGCAAATTCAGTTGACTAAAGGAAAAAAATTTTTATTGAATTTAATTAGACAGTTTTTATGCTAGTTTCGCTCAAAGTTTGTATGAAACTTAAACTGCTTATTAGAAAAATAACCATTTAACCAATTTAATTAAAAAAATTTTTATCAAATTTTAGCTGGGTGTTTACGTATAAATTAAAAATTAAAAATTTTTTCCTAAAATTGTGGGTCGGAATGCATCGGTAAGACTATAGTAAAATTAAATGAACGACTATTTTTCATTAGCGTTAGTAACCATTTCCGGCCCATCCGACCGATGCATTTCGGCCTGGAGTTTTGAAAAAAAGATCATCTCACATCTTGGTAGTCTTATAAACAAGCTTATATTATTTATAGAAAAAAAAAAAGCAAAATTCAATATTAGTAATCTCTTGAGGTCAATCGAGACTACCATAGTTCATATTCTAATATTCTTACGCTATATATGCTAATTTTAGTTTAACCAGAGATTAAGTGTATAGGATTGAAGTTTAAAAAAATGTCAGTTAACTAGCTGTCTGTACAGATGTATAAATGAAAATATCCATGAATAATTCACAGAATGTTTCACGGGTTACATAACATATTAATGAAAGATATTAAAGCAATAAATAAGATATTAAATTCTTGAAATTCGTTATTAGCAAATGGTTATTTTTTTTTTTCAGTTTACAATTATGTGAATTCCTCAAAAAATAGGCATTTTTTAATACATCACAATTCAAAAATCAAACATTCTAGAACCTAACAATATTATATCAGCAAAAAAAAGAATCCAAATTTTAATTCATTATTCCATCGTCAATATCAATCAATCGAACAGCTGTCGAATTCTCCATGGTCTTTTCTTTTCTAGCGCAGCTACGAGAACAGTACGAATGGTGGCGACCATTAGGATCCACGTATATTGATTGCTTGCATTCAGCAATTTTGCACTGAACCTCGTTATCGAATGGCGTTTCTAAGAATTTTTTATATTCAGCAATACCATTTGTGAGATTTTGATACGTGAACTTATCATCACAAGAACGTGCACAAGTTAAACCACAATAAGGATGTCGAACACTAATTTGTAAAATATTAAATGAAAATGTTAATGAATTTAGTACTGTAGTATAAATTTTTTTGACATTAAAACTAATTAACATTAAGAAAAAAACTTCTATCTCAAAACAAATTTAATTATCTTAATCATCTCAATCGTAAAAATCATTGAGTTATCTTGTTCGCAAGAGTAGATAACTGATCTATACCCATTTTTTTCATATATAGGACGAGTGCAGCCGGGTGCTAGACAGGTAACTTGTCCAGGTTTTGCTTATAAAAATATGGTTTATTATTTTTATGTATAATGTAATAAATTTTAAAACAAAAATAAAAATATCTTTGCGATAACACACCGTAACACATTTCTAAGAGATATTTCAAATTTCAAGAATGATCAGCTTTGGATTTTCTTGATATCGTGAGTAAGAAAAAAGAGATTAAGTTAAATAGAAAAATCGTGAGGTACCCTTATAAATTATTCGTTTAATTTATTAAGAGTACCTTTATGAAAAAAAAACTCATTAGAAAAGTTAAATTTATGAATATTTTTTTTTACGTTCCGCAAAATAGATCAGAAAATGGAATGGGTTAAAATTACTAAATAAAATATTATTTTGATACTCGTGATTTCAAATAACTCAAATTTCATTTTGCGGAACATTAATATTTTATATAGCTAATTTATTAAACAACGAAAATTGAATTGTTACTTTGCACGTTAAAGCTGTTTACTGTATATCGCCTAAAAAACTGCTTTGATAAAATTATGCAACATTCGATTGGATATAATGAATGTAAACACATTTTAAATATTTGAATTTTTAAATACAGTATTAGAAAATTTAGATTTTAATATTTACAAATAACTAAATAAATTCTTTGAATAATTAGAATCAAGCTTAGATCAAATTTTACAAAGGTTAATACTTACGTACCTAATTTTGGTGGCGAAACTAGTACATTTACAAACCTGAATAGGGATTATAGTTTATAATTCAAAATTTTGAAATAACAATAACTAAGCACCAGTTAAGTTCGTTCAAATTTAATTTATTAGGTGGCAGGTTTTGTTGATTAAAGCTTAGTGTTAAAAACTATGTACAAGAGTTTACCCAACACTAATTCAAAGTCCACTCATTAAATAAAGTTGCCTGTATTATTACTTAGTCTGACCATGCCTACTGATCTAGAACAAAAACTTGTTTACCATTACAGGCAGAAAAATTTCTCGCGACTAAAAAAAATTTTTATTAAGTAAACCTATCTTGACCTTCTAGTAAACTTTTATGGCTTATCAAACTGCACTAAAGGCAGTGTTAAGACTTTTCGAAAAAAAGAAAATCAAAACAAGAACGCGAAAAAGAAATTGAAAACACTCATGCGAAGGTGAGCCTACCAAAACCATTGCATCTAATAACACACAACCTAAAACAATGTGAATAGCACACTCAGAAAATTATAACATAGACAACTCTTCCTCCACATATTTTATAAGATTAAACTGTACTCAAGAACAATAATACACAAAATTATTGCTTATAATATAAATATTATACATTCTTGCTGTGTACTGTACTGGTATACGACCAATACTAGTTTATATCAACTATGTAATGAGCCAGACGGACTTTATATTACTGTACAAGGACCCCATCATATTAAAAGCTTATGCTTTACATAAACAAAGATAGGCATTATTCACAAGGTCTTTACCTATCAATAATCCGACTTATAAAAACCATTCGGTTATACCCCATTACAAAAAAAAAGGACTTAACTTGTTCATGGATAAAAAAGTATGTACACATTTATTTTTTAGTATATAGATAATTTTTATACGATAATATTATATTCACCAAAATTTTGATTCCTAATAACAAAACAACTTCTTATGTTAAAAAGAAATATACTAAGGATAGTTATACAAGAAGCGAACTAAATACAACGAGTATATAATATTACGGCTTTCTCGACCGGGATGAACAATATACATAAAATGAAAAGAAAAACAATTGGTAAAAAAGGTGATGGATATGTCCGAACATTTGGACCAAGACAAATTTAGTGGACAATCTCAGAAAACACTTTGATCCAAGAATAGCGACACAAATTTCGAGGTTGTGACTGGAGAATTTCGATTTCGTACGCGAGCTTATCATATTGAATATTATGACGACACTGCACTATTTATTTTTGAACGTATTGAAACCTGGGTCTATCAAATTCAAATTCAAAAAAGACCAACAATCAAGGTTAACAATCTTATTTGATCATCCAAATAAACGAGACTTTAACTTCTTTGGGTGTATCAAAAAATGTAATTCACCCCGGAGGATTAACATCATTATCAAACGCTTTGATGAAAAATAGTGTAGCATATAACATAAAGACGAATACATAAAAAAAGTTAGAGTCAAAATTAATAGTGCTAGAATTGGAGTACAATGAATTGTTGTTAGGTGAGACTAGAGATTTCATTATCGACAAAGGCGGAACCCGATTTTGACTTTCGCCAAAAGATTAAAAAGGAGAAATGGCGAAGCTGGAGAAATATGACAAAACTGGTAAAACGTGATGAAGTTGATGAAATGTGACGAAATTGACAGAACTAGTAAAACTGATGGAAGGTAATTTTAATTTGCAAGAGTAAAATAATTACATAACTTACTGTATTATTTAAATAAAAAAGAAATTTTTTTATTTTTGTAAAGAAATTTGGTTGTTTCATAATAACATATAAAGTTTTACACTAATATCAGTTACAAAAAGACACGAAAATTATAAGATTTATATACAATTTGATTGAGGATATCTTAACACTCATCTACAAAATTCAATCAAAATTTTTTATTTAAATTTCACAAAAATAATAAAAAAATATTTTTATTACGGTATCTTTGATCAAGGATTTAAAGAAAAATATAATAAAAATCCACAGAGCTGTTAAGCAAGTTCTCTATATTATTTTTCTACATTATACAAGACTTTTGTTAAATATTTTTTGATCTAGTTGTAACTCAAATAAAAAGTAAAAATTTTGTTGTAGTTATTTAGTAAAATTAAAATTAGCTAAATAGAAAGTAAATAAACAATGAATAATATAGCAGATGGCAATGACAGATCACACTAATACCGATACAGTTTACAGCTAACACAAATTTAATTCAGTTTCTGTATAATTCTATAAATCTAACTTATATACAGTATTAAAAAATTTGACTTTCGGAAATATGCCTGTGGTATAGCTCTTTTATTTTGATCTGCGAGAGACGAAATGCATATAATGAATATAATAATAAAATACCATAGTTTTGAATTCTTTATAATAACGTATATGGCTATTTCAACTATGGTACGTATATAATTCCCATATTGAAGATCTAGTACCAGATAGGAAAAAAAAAAAAAAGCATTAATTGATTAATAACTTTAAGGAAAATTATCCCATAAATATTGTATTATACTACGCGAAAAGATTTATTATAAATGTTATTTTAGGTACCATTTTGAAATAATTCATATTGTATATTTGAATTGAAACCATTAGTATTACAGCACTATGTACCTGTAAGTATAAAAATAATGCGTTACCATTTTCCCCGTAAATAAGCGTTCGATCCTCCGAAAGTGTGCACTCATAATTCATTTACACCCGAAAATAAGTATCTCTTATATATTATAAATGAGCAACTAAATCGAGTCATCGAAATCATTAATTGAGATCATACCCGAACACAAGCACTTATATATTGTGTATAAGCGCGAAATAACGTTCGTGGGCGTTATTTTGAAAATCGGGTCCTTTAAAAATAACTAATGATCTCGAATTAATGTAGCACATAATTTATTGTTCGATAAATGATATACAGTCGACACTCCATATGAGTGCCGGAAAGGGAAACCTCGAACCACAATAATAAACTATAATCGCCGAGGTTTTCCCTTGCCGACACTCATATGCACTCTATAAGTTTATAATATTTCACATGCACTTTCCCTATAAAGATAATGATGAATGCACAAAATTTGATTATTTATATGTAGTTTATTCTCCATAAATGAATTTCTATAAATGCATTTCTATAAATGCATTTTTATGCATTTATGGAATTACATGGGGCGTATTCGAAATAACGCGCAGGTCAGTTATTTCGCGCTTATACGATAATAAAAAATAGTTGCTTATTTTCGGTACGTGTTTATAACGATAACGATTAATGACTATTTATAGAAGTCAATAGATCAGTGATAGGCAGCGGGATTTTCAGTGTGTGGGACTATATGTTATAATGCTATTTGTTCTAAATTCCACAAGGAAATTTGAGGATATACATCGTAAAATTAATTATAAATCTAACCGTCATTTAATCTTCTAAAATTAACCAATTTTAATAAATAAAAGTATGATATTTAAAAACTTTGAAACCAAAATATTTGAAATTGGGCATATGTCAGGCACTGTTGGCACTATGCCGGGTAGAAATACTAGTACCCAAAATGCCTGCAATTTTTTTTTTATTCCCCCAAACTTTTACCGGTGTCGGTGCCAACACCACAACGTTTTTAAACACACGCCAGCCTATACCATGTATTATAGGAAGACATTCATATGATTGGCTAATTTACACATGATTAATAGTCAACTAATAATTTATCATTAGAGAAAATTCGCACTTTATTTTTCAGCATCACTTTACTAGAAACGTATTGGTATCTTTTGTCTATATTATTAGTTAATACCAAATACATTTTTTAATGCTTTGTTAAATAAATCTTTATAAGATAAATCTATCATCAATAATTCATTTTTTAACATTATTTAAGGTTGTACTTTTTTGAAAATGTATTCATCCGTTTTGATTCAGTCTTTTTTTGCATAACATTAACTTGAACTTTCAGAATTACCTAAGTTTGCAGATTTCAAACCAAAAGCTTTATTTTCATCTTTTCTATTTCTACACCATTTTATCGTCTATTTGCTATTCATAAAATAAAATATATAGTCAAATGTTTTAATTTTGCATTCGTATAACAATAGTTCAAATCTGGATAATACAGAATTACTAATGTGAAAAATAGTATCTTTATCGTTATAATATACAGAATTTTTGTGATTTTGGTTTGTCTCTCATCTTTGGAATAAACTATTACTACGAAAAAACATACGGGTTTTTCCCTTCTGCTATCGAGCAACCTACGCAGTTGTTTATAGAATCGTGCAACATGCTCTTTCTCATTTCATTTACTTTTTGTATTATGACTGTCGTTCCGACAGGCCATAAATTATCGTTAGTCTGTTTGAAGTTAATTTTTCGGTTAACATCGCCCCTCCCCTTTGATGTCCTCCGGTAAAATGAACATAA